TCGAACTTGCGTCGGCGGGGTGACGATCGCACCGGTGGGAGTTAGCACGCGACGGCCGGGATCGTCGGTGCGGGTATGAGGATTGATGATTGGAGTCGAGTGGGTGATTGGCCCAGGGCCATGTTGGAATTCAAGGCGAATGCACCTTTATTATTGCGGATCTTTATCTTTTGGCGTGAATGTACGGTGGCAATGCCGAACTTCCTCTTTCGGATTTTGTCCTCTCCTATCTCGATATTCTTCCCTCGTTTCTCCCCCTCTCTCCTCTATCTTTGAATGACGATGTGCCTTGATGTTTCTCTCTCTCATGAATGAAAATGAATCTGTGTGCTTTCCTGTGTGAAAGAACTTCTTCCGGAACTCTTCCATTAGTTTTCTGGGTAATCCCTGAATGCAAGGAGACTCAGTCTTTTTGTCTTGTGAACGGTGGATGCGTGTGTATTGTCGCCCGTTTCATCTCTGATCCATGTGATTTTTCGCACCTTCCACAGTGAATGTATGCGTGGGTAGACCATTGTTTGTCGATTTGATCTTGATGGGATTTTGTTCGAGAATGCAAGAGTGTTTAGATCTGTCACATTAGATGCACGGCGCATGCCATCTGCCTTATGATGCACGACATCAGCGTCCGGCCTTCAGGGCGGCCCGGTAAAACAAGGCGCCCCAGTTCGGTTAAAAACCTGGCCATGCCAGTTTGATAAGTTCTCTTCTTCTCTCGTACTGAAAGAACTAGTCGGATTTTGTATTGTTGGTTTCCTTTGATGACGTCTCGGGATATTTGTAATTGATTGATATGTGGACTCACGAACGCCCTTCGATCGGGCGCGAGACTCCCGTATCTCCCACGTCAGCGCAACCCTTCCCTTACAACGAGGAAAGGACACGTGTATGTGAGTGGGACGTACGAGAAGCTGTCGCACGGATTGGCGGACGGTATTCCTTCCCTTCGGAAGATCGTTGTTCAGGGTTCGTGGAGGCTGGGTTTGTCATCATCGATACGCATTTTCCACCTTACTCGGTATTGTTGCCATTCAATGAGTTTATCGTCATTCTGTGGACGGCCGTAGAACCCCATTGGCCGCGCACTCTGTGCACTGAGTGCCAGCGCTCCGAGCGCTACGAATCCAAGGGCTTCCACTACCGCGTACAGAGTGAAGACGAACACCGAGAACGAGCCACGTGACTAAGGCCCTCCACGTCGGACTCAAAACTGACCTGTGAGCGACGTTGGGACTTAATACGAAAACGAGACACGCGAAGCGTGCCGAAGCCCTTCCGCTCTAAACAACGGGCCGTAGCACGGTGGGAAGTCTGACAATATTTTTTGGATTGAATTTGTACTTCTCTCTCCTTTCGCGCCGAATTCACGCGCACATTTCGTGCCGCGCGAAAAACGATCGACTTACTTCATCGGACCAACACGGGGGATTTCAGTTCTGTCTGTGTCCCCACACTCAAATTTCCAAAAATCCTTGGCACACCCCATCTTGCTGTATTCCTGGGCCCCTTTTCCGCACCCTTAGCACTCCGGACGAAAGACAGCACAGGGCGTGAGGTTGCGCGTCACAGTCCACCAGTACTCGGCGTAACGAGGCTGCCTATGCCCAAGTAGCCAAAGACTCGTCTCCCTCACTGTTTATAGGATCACTGCATACCGCGATCCCCGCGCTCTAAATGAGGGATTCAAATACCCTCTTCAGATTCTGTAAATTAGAAATTGCTTTTCAAAATTTAGTAAGGCAAATAAAAACGAAGAAGGGAAAAACGAGAGGCCGAACCCCAACGGCCACCTTTAACGTGAAGGGACCCACAGGCTTGGCGCGATGATCCCATAACGGGATACCGACGACCACTCCCCCTCCTTCAAAGGGGACCAACCATCACCAATGGACTACCCCTGATGGGTACCCCTGTGTGATGGCAAGGAGGTGACAAGCCCCCTACCGAGGCGGCCGCGGGTGCTCCCATTTTGGGCCCGGTACTTATTGCACCTTACCAGTCAAGCTCATGACGGCCGAAGATGAAAGGTTGAGTGCACTAGGCCATCCACAAGCTATTTCCCATTTCTAAAACAAACCGTTCGTCCCCCGCGGAATGACTGAGGGGAACAAAGCTCAAAGGACGGCTAATAACAATGATAATAACAGTAATAACAATAATAATAGTACTTATAATAATGAGAAAAAGAAAAGAAGGAGAACGTAGCGCTGCTGCAGCCCGACGACACTTAGATAATCCATATGAAAGTAACGATTCTATTCAGAGTGCAGACTCACTGCATGACTTTTCCTCGGTTTCCCTTTTCTTTATTTTTAAATTTTCCCTTTTCTTTTTTTTTTTGCTTTCACCCCTCCTTACTGGACTGCGATGGCCTGGCCTATGCATACTACGCTTATTCTGGCAAAAGGGGATCGGTGCGCAGCTGCGCCGACCCAGCTACCCTCGTGTCCCTGAATGACGGCGACCACAGACCGGCAGTGCTCTGCAGTACAGCAGAGCGCCGATCCGGAGTGGGCCTATGGTGGGTCCCAGTGGTGCACCCCACTCCTTTTCCTGTGGGAGCGCCCATTGGACCAATCCAGGAACGGGGCTTGGAGAGTTTGGCACACTACTGAGAAGCGGACGCACCCCGTACTATGTGGAGTTCAAGAAACAGGGTATGCCTGGTACCCTCGGAGGGTCTCTTCCTCAGTCCTTTCCTTGCCTCAGCATTGTCAGCAGTGACTGCAGCACACTGCATGCATCCCGTAATCTGATGAGAGAGGGCCCCAGCTCGCACCACTCTGGTCTTTTCGCCGTCCTGTCCCTGAGTGGACCCGGCTGCAGCCACGGCCTCTGCCCTTGCTGCATGACAGTATGGGGCCTCTGCCCTTGCTGCATGACAGTACGGGGCCTCTACCCTTGCTGCATGACAGTACGGGGCCTCTGCCCTTGCTGCATGACAGTACGGAGCGGACCCGGCCGCAGCCACGGCCTCTTCCCTTGCTGCATGA